CTTTGCTGAAGATAGACTTTTCCTTTCGTCTAACTTAGACAGTGAAAAAAGTGTGTAGAGAATAGCAAGACCAGACATGAGTCTTAGCAACTGCTCTGTTTTCGAATTACGTCTTGAGGTAAAAGAAAGCGGAAGGGGTGGGGGAATGTGCTGGAACAGAACTATTTCCACGAGAGGGAGAGAGAGAGTCAAAAATGTGAAGATGAAGAAATGGAGGCGATAAACAACGATGTAAAATAAATTAACGGAATGACCGATTCTGCTTATCAGGACAAACAAGAGAAACAATAAAAAGCGAATTTCACGTCAGAGGGATTGCAGAGTACCCACTCCTACGCAGTCTGTCTTAATTAGTCGTTTAATTTACTCAGTCCATATTCGTTAGGGCGTGAACATTCAATAAACATAATCCAAATCTTCAAATTTCAATCACCTCGTTTTCCTTATAACCACAACCGAGAAAACTGCTATTCAAACTCCTATTTTGATACAAATATTAGCGAAATAGCTTATTAGAATTAACCTAATGGATGAATGAGCAATACTATTTATCAAGTCAAGAACACTGAATAGTAATAGTCCATTTGTAAGTCCTTTTGGAAATATGTATTTTAAAAAATTTAATAGATAAACAAAAATCAATCCTGAACGTCAATATCTGAATTGATTTTTACTAGCGCAAATGAAATTGTTGAACTCTGTGATTTTGGTAAGATATGAAACGGATTGCCACGCTAGTAAAGCCTGATCGACTCAGAAATCTCTATGGCAGATTCTCCACCATCTAGCTAGACTCCCAGAACAAGCTAAGCTATAGCCCAGCTATAAGGGAAACAGACGTGTAGCACGGAATACGCTTATTGAGTACGTATATTGATAGCGAATTGTCATTTTGGCAAAGTGATTAGTTATCAGATAAATCTAGCATAATTCGCGTGAATATTAATAGCTAAATATCTCTGAGTAGTGTTCTGTACCAGGATTTCCATTGGTCATTGATGAAGTGTCCCACTGATAAATTGTATTACTAAACAAATCCTTCACTGTATTATAATGACTAAGATCCGTGTCAACGACACAGCCCGGGAAAACTTGTTAAAACCATACGCCTGTTTCCTTTGTTCTTTATTATGGAGATTAGGGGGCATGAGTCAATGCTTATAGGTGCAACAGTCCACACAATGTTTATTGATTACATCAAGTGCATGTTGCTCCTACTTCGTCTGTGAGAATCTTACTAATCAGATGCCAGTGTTAAAGCTCTTATAGTGGTAGTCCCGATACTCTACAAAAAAGTACAAATTTTACGTGATTTTATTGTTTCCGTTTAAAATTCAGGTAGGCGGCCTAACGCACCACTGAGCTTTAGCATAAATCAATATCTACTATGTTTTGGGGTGTGCGATAGACTTACCTCCATGTGGTGCACATTGGGTAACACATACTCATGCGACAAAAGTCTATAAACCGCAGTTGACTTCTGACTTCAAGCTACCATGACCCGACTGTATGCCATATTTGTAGCGGATTGCTACTTTATTAAAGCCTGACTGACTCAGAAATCTTTATGGCAGTTCCTCCTACATCTAGCTAGACGCCCAGAACCAGCTAAGCTAAAGCCCAGCTATAAAGGAAACAGACGTGTAGTACGGAGCACGTTTATTCAGTGGGTATATTGTGGATAAAGTGCACACGCATGGAGCTACTCATGATCAGGATGGGGGATTAGGTTAAACAGCGGTTGATGATTGGTCACTATTCGTACGGTCGCTGCATACAGAGTTGTACAGCGCACCTCCCAATCCTGGCGAGCAGACATGCAGGCATACGATGACGAACAACGCGATAACGTGTCCCACATATTCGAACACTTGCACAGTACTCATCTCACCTTTTTCTCTACCTTGATATCTGTCTCTTTTACATCTTTGAAACACTCTTCTGTGCCCCCTTCCCCGACTTTTCTCCCTTTGATGTTCCTCCCCCCCCCCCCTGTGGAGTCCGAAGTCAACTAAAGGGCTAATGATAACTATCATTTATTTATTTATATCAAATGGGAGGCGTTCTGATAGTCATCATTAGCCCTTTAGTTGACTTCAGGCTTTACAGAGGGGAGGGAACATCAAAGTGGAAAAAAAGTCGAGAGGGGGGGGGGAACAGAAGAGTGCTTCAAAGACGAAGGTTGAAAAAAATTGAGGTGAGTACTGTGAAAGTAGTCGAATATGGCTTACAGTGGGATCATGGTAGTTTGAAGTCAGAAGTCAACTGCCCATTGATAGACTTTTTTGACGTATGGATATACGTTGCCCAGGGTGTACCACGTGGAGGTAAGTCTATCGCACACCCCATGATAACTATCATATAGCTTGACATTTGATATAAATAAATAAATACTCACTATGTTGGTGCTTTTCGAATGCAGAGGAATGAAGTGTATTGACCACACTCGGCTTAAGTAAGGACCCGAATATAAAAGGGCAATTATTTCATTTACCTCACATGAAATAACGATGGATTTAAGGAGGGCGGTGGGGGAGGGGAAGGTGAACTATATGAATCAGCATAATTCGATTTGGAGTGGTAGCTCTTAAGTCATGCAAGTTAATGTTGCCTTTCATGTATGACATGGGCTGAAATGCATCTGACTCGATGGGGTTTAGATTCAACAGGATCTGAAAGTGTAAGGCCTATATGACCTACAAGACTGATGAACGCACCACAAATTTTTGTCACTGGAAATTCTGCCGTTTTTCTTTTCATTTCCCTGTTTGAATACGATTACATAACAACAATTGGAGTGTACATTGCACTGTTTTGGATAAATTTTTCCCCGGGGTAAGGAATGCTTATTGAGGAATTAGACAAGGTCTAGACGATATTACTGAAATCTATCATATCGTCAGTAGTAACTTACCTGTTATTTCACATTTTTGGTGAGTATCGAAGTCTGGTGATGAAATTGGACATTTGCGATGGAGCAGTGATTAGCATGCAGAGGATAGGCGAGTGGAGATTTCTGACATGCTCAAATTAATTGTAGCCCACATGAAGGATGGTAGAGTACAGGTCTATGACACGTATCCACTAACAAAGTCAGTTATTGCCAATACTTCCTTAAAAGGCTTAGAAAACTTAAAAGTAGAAAGCACAGCACTAATAACTAAGATCAGTGACTAAAGTGCTATTTTGTAAAATTGGAAGTCCAACTCCCCATCGTACTTAATTATAGGCATTACAAATTTATAAATGTACTAAGGAAAATCCATAGTGATTAGCCATTCTCCATCCCCAGGCTCCACAACTCGATACTTGGAATTTGTTTGATTTAAGTTATAAAAAATCGGTTATGGCTGATTAAAGCGAGCATCCGTTTTTGAATTTGACTAAAGCCTATAGTTACTTTCCACCCAATTAACCCTTTTGGGTAATAGTTGGGGTGGGGGTGAGAGTGGGGAGGGGGAAGGGGGAAGGGGTGTATGGTGGTAGAGGGGGGTGCGGGAGGAAGAGGGATATAAAAAACCAAGCTCTTTGAATTTCACAAACATCGCCACCCACTATTGCAATATTCACAAACTAATACAACTTTTTAGAAATTACAATTGGTCAGTTTTAAAATAAATGAACTTGTATTTGAGAAGAATACAGAAGTCTCATCACCGTGGATATAACCTCGACAGACCACTTGGGAGTCGAAACGGAGTGTGAATAAAAGGACATCGGGCTCTAACTAAGCCTCGTAGAAGAAATTGCTAGCATGTGCTTCGAGAGAATTTAGTAAATTGAGATTGTGTTAGCAACAGCCTCTTCACTCCCAGCCCATTTTCTCATCTTATTGAAATCGTCAAAAGCCATTCTCTCTTAATATGCCTTTCCGTGATTTAAAAACTAAACGAGTTTATCCTTCCAATGCCATGGAGGTTGGTTCAGCTCAATTCTTAAAATAATAAGAGATACAATAATTTGCAACGGGGATTTCCGTCGATGAGCTACTTAATGTTTAAGCATTGTAGGACCTTCTAATACCTTGTTCAAGGCTAGTTTTGGGTCTACTGCGAGATTTGACAGTAATTATTGCGGAAAGAGATTGAGATCATTGCCTGATTAGTAAGAATGTTGGATAAGTACGAGTAGGAGTGCAACACCCGGCTGGATAAATTGATGGCACGAGTTACAGAACGTATTCCCACTTTGAAATCACATACACACCACCCCAATTAAGGCAATAGCTTGTTATCCCAAAGGGGAAACAGTTAAGCTTGCATCCCATCACAAAATTGATGTTAATTAAATCGTTTAGAATAGAAACGCTCAGTAACACGAATATGTCTAACTCGCATGTTGAACCCACCTCGATGAGCCAGTCACATCGGCAAATAATTCATCGGTCTTGGTACACCATATTCACAATGTAAACGAATTGTGTATATCCTGGGGTGAATAACCATTCGAAAATAATTTTTTCAGCTGTGTTAAACGCTATGCGAAGGCACCACAAACCGTCCAGGTACAAGAGACAAAGTCCTCCGCTACTGAGCTTTCTCTTAGTTCAGGACAATCAAACTTCCCTTTTAAGCAAATTTGATCATTCGGTATTTTAGATCGTCAGTGAAGAGGAATAATTGCAAAATTCACTAAAAGCGAAAAGCCAACTTTTAATAACGCGGTCACCTTTTTGTATTCTTTTAAAAAGAGATAGGGAGTAATCATCGGACAAAATGTTTGAGAGATGGGAGCAAGGGGAGAAAAGGGAACACTAATATTTGCGAGTAGTAAACTAGCAATAAGTGGGGAGACACGAAAGGAGATAGAAGTATTAGCACCAAGTAAACAAGCCATCCGATTAAGGGGATGGAGGGGGGGGGGGNGGGGGGATAAACGACGACAAAAAGGGGGCATCGTGCAGGGTAAATAGGCTAACAAGAGATAGGAGGGATGGGTGACAGTATTGAGAGATTGAGAATTGGCAATAGTTAATGCAAGCAAAAGAGAGAAGACAGCGATTAGAAGTGTAATCCGGGAGCAGGTATGACCGCGGCAGTAGGAGGTGGATAAGGAGTACCGTGAGATACTGCAGCAGCATTAATGAACATCGGTGGGGGTGGGTGGTCACGACCAGATGCTCCAGCCGAGTTGACAAGTTGATTTTGACGTTGATGTGGGGCTAAGAGAGCAGGTCCGCCTGATGACTGATGGTGATGTGAAAACAAACTTGTTGAATTCGCGGCCAATCCACCATTTGAGTAAGCAAACTATAAAAGTTGGTACAAAAGTTCGGTTATACATGATTACTAGCAGTATAGGGGGCAAATAAAATTTGAAAGGCTAATTTTACAGTCTCAAACACATTTATAGGTCAGCGAAAGAAACCTGGGCATAGATGCATAAAAGGAAATAGCCAGCAGACTAATACTAATGAGATACCATAATTGGAAAAAGGGGAGCAAGTTTAAGGAGAGCGTAGTCCAGGTGATTGGGAAACCATCGAATTTATGAAGGAAGAAATTCTCAAATTCCCTTTAAATGAATAGAAGTAGAAACAAAATAACTGCGGGTTGTCTTAATCTACGATAATTCCTTAATCGGCAACGTACCAGTATTGACTTCGATTAGCTCAATCCCAAACTGTATTCCCCCTGATGGTGGTGAGAAAACCAATGATTCTGTGTGAATACAGAAATGTAAATTAATATTACATATTTATTTGAAAGTAGTAAGTACAAAGTATTACAAATAAGTACAGACCATGGACTTTTCCATGAATGCGTATGCTAAATTCAACTGTATGTGGATTACCACAGTACACTTCAGCCTTTAAATTACCCCACAAATAAAATTTCAGGTAGAAATATCGAGCGATTGGGGAGAATACGAACCTATACGAGGACCGCATTTTATTCATCGAAAGCTTCAAGAACGTAAGCCATTTAAAAACCGCTGATTATGTGCGGTAGCACCAACTCGCTGGAGCAATGTGCAATGAATGGTTGCAATAATTCCGCTAAAGAAGACGATGGCTACAATACGCACCAAACGCCTATTTTTTCAATCAATATGGAGGCACAAATAAGGTGTTCTCTAGAATTGTCCCTTGACCAAACGCGAGTGCTTTGAGAATTCATATACT